CATCCTGCAGTAACTCCAGAGCAGATCCAGCTGGAAAGCAAGAGTGGAAATAAAACTTGAAAATTCCTACCACGCTTTGAAGTCTGCCTCTTTCACAACCATGAGTCCCTGATTCGTCCCAACCATTCTGAGCTGTTCTTGCTTGTTGAATTTATTTTAAAAGAGACACAAGCCACGCACTTGCATATAATCTATCAAATGGACTCCAGCTTTTTGCAGGGATGGTTTGTTAGGGAATATGAATCCCAAAATACCTTCTCTTGCACATGAAATCAGCCATCAGTTCAATTGGAATAGAAAGGCTTCCGATACTAAAACTAGAAACCACTCTTGGTTCTAGTAAATACTACTTTTTCCTCTTGTGTTCTTTCCTTGACCCATCCAGGTACTTTTAATTTTTAGTTTTTTAAGGCTGTTATCTATGAAAAACTATTACTACAGATAAAAGGATATTAAGTGCCACCCTAGGCTCCTAAAATGGGCGCGTCACCACACTGAAGTGACTGCTATCCCAGTAAATTATCTGAGGAGGGATAGCCAATGACCTAGGTTGAACAAAGCTTCAATCTTGCACAGGGCCCACTGTCACCGCACGTCAGTCTCACCTACCAACTGTGCCTGGGTGGATAGGGGCTCAGCCAGTCCTTTCTGCTCAAATCCCAGGTGACTTCAGAATAGGACATGGTGTCTTAGGCCAGCTGGACTGTTAGATCCTTTCTCTACTGATCACTATGACTGAGATCCGATCATCCTTAGCATCTTCGACGGACGCTGGGAAGAAATGTCAAGGGCATCTAAGAAACATGTCCTTGGTCACAGAACAGTCACAATAACCTAGTAAGTAACCAGACACTGACCTTCATAATAACCTACACGCCTGAGTTTCTGTCAACAGAGCAAAACACCGAAGAAGAAAATAGTTTGACTCACAGTGCCTGGTCAAGAACAATGTAGATCATAAAGTCAAAAATCCTGATTTCTGCCCTTGGGTTCAATCTGCATAAGTCTCAGCCAGTCCATTCCCCCACAGGAAGAAAATTATGTTTGTGAAAGGCACGCTGAAAACTGACAAGCACACTTGCACATATGAGGAGTTATTTTAACTAAATAGGAAAAATTCAATTTGCCCTCTCATGCCTTCTCAGGACACAAAGCTTACGGGTAGGAGCAATGTCGGGGGAGTCCTTTGGTGTCCACTTCTCCCTTCTTTGGCTCTCCCAACTGGGAGCTGAATAATTCACTGGGGGAATGAATCCTCAAAGGGAATCAGACCGTGGACCCTAGCAGTGAACGTAGGTCTACATAATCCAAGCAACAACCCAGGCACAAATTTAATAAGGAAAAAAAGCCCCAGCAACACAAAAACAAAGAACTCTCAACTTTACAAACACTGGGAGTGCAACAGCTGGTCAGCCGAGATTAAAGGAGCGTGAGAGAACACCTCCCCATCTCCTGCCTTCTCCTCCCCCGTCGAGGTCCCCGCAGCCAGCCAGGGCTCGCTTTTACAGCCCTGTGCAGATGACCTTGTTCCAGCTAAGATAGGAACTCTTTGATCTCAGCAGGGGGATGCTCTGGGCCTGCAGCTGGTAGATATTAATAGTACAGGATCCGCTGGTGTGGAAGAGATCTCTCAGTTGGGCCAGGTCACTCGTATCCCCTGCTCTGAGTCAGAGCAGAAGGAACTTCATTTCCCCGCATCAGCCCCTGCTGGGTACTTCTCTCGGGTCAACTCGGATCATTTTCTCACTGGCTGCTCTCGGTCGCTTGTTCTCACCCCGCAACTGTTTTCAAGGGAGCGCTGTTTAAGCCGTGCCCTCTGCTCTTGTAGCTGAAATCTATTACAGGACAGGGTGAACCCTGGGCTCAGCCCATCACAGTGTGTTTCTCACTCTCACCAGCTTGCACACACTTCTAGTGTACACGTTTGCGTGGGAGAGAGGGTAGAGAGAGCAAGAGACAGACAGACAAGCCCAGAAGTGTTTACAGAGAGAGAGAGAGAGAGACAGCAGTATGGGGAGAGGGGGCTGTTAGAGGTATGCTGATGTATCAGTGCTAAGATTTCCGAGGATCCTTTCCATTATGTTTAATCTAGGACGACCAGGTCACTCTTCCCACCCTGTAAATCCGAATTTTAAAACCCCATCACCAAGCGAACGCTCCTGACCTTCAGACCCACATCACATCTTACAGAGTCAGAGCTAGAAAAGGCTTCAGCCATCATATTCAACCTGTCTGTCTGTCATTTAACAGAAAAAACTGAGACCCAAAGTGATCAAAAGAGCTGCCCAAGATCACAGAGTTAATAACACAAGGGCAAAGCTGATGGTACAACGCATGCTTATAACAACAGAGAGATTTGTACATTTTAATCATAGCAACGTTAACAACCACTGCAATATATTTGAATAGGTATAAGTGTTCTAAGAAATTTATTATTTTTTTTCATTCACTGGTAAGGAACTTCATTATAGGCTTCAGAAAAAAAATTCTATAGACTCTTTATCTGCTTAGCTATGGAAGGAAAAGATCTAGAAAACTCAATTGCTTCCATTCTCCCTTGGGTTTCATAATAAGAAAAAGTTGTCTAAGGATGAGCTGGTAACTCTCCCTTGGCCATGAACGGGACTTTACCATTTTTTTGAAGCGGTTACACTGCAGCCACAAAGCAATTTCCTTTATATCTGTTTTGCTTCTCTTCTTTGCTTGAGATAAACCAGGAAGCCAGGACAAAGAAAAGTACTCTTACTTATTGGCTTTCAGATAAGGAAACAAGATAGTCTCTTCTGTTCTCCTCCTTGGAACTGAATAAATGTGTACGTGTGTAATACTTATAATAATAATTTTTAATCACGTTCATAGGTCTTTACGTGATTCTCATGGTTCACTGTTGTTACAAAGCATTTACTATGGTACTGGTTCAGCATTTATTTACTGCCTACTACGTACCTAGAACTTTGCTGGTCATTCAGGCACAACAAAAAGAATACAAGAGAGCCTGTGACCTTAATCTTAATCTGGTGGGGAAACCATGAAAAGTTAATTTCTTTTTTCTTTTTTTTATCTTTTCTGTCTATTGCTGATCTGGTAGAAGGGCCACAGAGGAAGAAGAGAGAGTGAGACCAAGGCAGACTGGAACAGGCAAGGAGGTTTTGTGGAAGAGGTGGTCTTTTTTTTTTTGAATTTTATTTTATTTATTTTTTAATACAGCAGGTTCTTACTAGTTATCCATTTTATACATATTAGTGTATATATGTCAACCCCAATCTCCCAGTTCATCCCACCACCACCCCCCCACCCCCATTTTTCCCCCTTGGTGTCCATACGTGAAGAGGTGGTCTTTAAATAAACCTCGAAGGAGTGGGAGGATTTGGGAAGAAAAGAAGAGGTAGGAGTGAAAAAGGGAAATGCCGTTCTAGAAGGGTGAGCTGTCTCTGCAGAGGCACGGAGCCAGGGCTCAGGAGAGCAGGCAGAAGGTCAGCATACTTGCTGGAGGAGCTTCACAGAGGGTGAAGAGGAAGGAAAGGACAGACTACAAAGAGTTAAGAAGCATCAACTTAACCTAGCTTATTTTTGGGGAAACTGATCCACACAAGAGAAAAGAAAAAAACCTGATTTTCAGCATTTGCTGATTTCCATGGTGTAAATACTTCCACCCTGGTTGACTGCAAGCTAACAAGCCACAAATTCCCGAATATTTTAAAATCAGCTTGTTGATTTTTGCCCATTCTCAGGAAATGGGCTAAAACAATGTCAAGATTCCTGAGTAGGAGACTGACACAGTAAAAGGAAGCCAGAAATGGGGAAGTTTAATTTGGTAGTGTAAGATGTACGTGGGAGAGGCTGGAGTTGGGAAGGCCATTTTGGAATTTATTAACATAATCCAAGTGTGAGTTTTTAATAAGTCAGCTGATCACAATACAACTCACAAAAAAGAGGGCACAGATATATTTGGAAAGGACAACCAAGTAGACTTGATGATGAAAGAAGTGTATGGAGGGAACGAAAAATGATGATTCAGCTTTTTGGCGGGAATGACAAGGCATCACTGAGTGTGGAAATACGGTACACAGAGCACTCTACAGTTGTTATAAATAAGTAATTCGTTTCACTCTGAAAAACACTGCTGAGAAGCAGGGATGTGGTCCTTGCAATTTTTGAGACCATAATCCAAGGCCAATCCATGGAAAACCACCTGGGCAGTTAGGAGCCTTGCTAGCCCTAGAGGTCCCATATATTCCATCATGAATAATTCTCAGAAAATGGAAAGTGCAGAGGGGCCTGGAACAGCTATGCTCATCCACCCAGGCCCACAGCATACTGCCCTGAAAGAAATCAGACTACGACTAGCAGAACTCAGAAATGTCAAGTAAGAACTTTCAGTAAAACTAGAAACCACCCACTGGCTCAGTGGTGTAATTCCCCTAGCTACATAAACCAGAGCCAGTCTGACCTTTGCTAGCATGGGAGGGTGGAGAAAATTTTGCAGATTTACCAACGTGGCTAGTTTTTCTTAATCCTTCTGTAAAGCTGATTGGGAACGCCACGTCTCCAGTACATGACACTGGTGTACACTTTTAGCCAGTCCAAAAGTACCCAGCACAAACAAAAGGTTAAATTGCTGTACAACCATGGGTAAAGCCAACATTTGAGCATCAGTCTCAAAAACAAAGTCATTTAGCAGTTCACCAGCCCTCATACTGAGGACCCAAAAGAACCTGCTGAGGAGTGACGAGCCTTAGGGGGAGGTGATAAGATGCCTGTGAAGATGATTCACTCAGGTGAAAAAGGAAGCTCACTTATAGAGACAGAGCAACACACTCTCCAAATATAAGGGATCAGATGCCAGGAAAGGTGGCCAAGCCTATATCGCCAGGCTCCGGCTGGGTTCACTGGCCAGGGCCTGTTAGCTGTGTGTCTCAGTTCTCAGCAGAAGGCAGAGAGGCAGTGGCGGAGCCGTATGTCAGTGTCAAGTTTCAGCCCCTCTAAGACAGATCCCTTACCTTCAGACAGGGACAAATCATCAGCTGGAGACACCAGGTCTGCCTGAGAAGCTAGGGCTCCACTCAGATGGGTTGTAATTTGATTCGTCAAGATAACCTGTGAACAGACAAGGAGAAGGCGGAGGGAAGGGAGAAGAGAGAAGACCAAATTAATTCTTAGAGCTATCAAAAGGCTGTAGTTTAGGGGAAGACTGATAAATACGCGGGTAGGAAAACCCCAGCTCTGACTTGCATCAGTTTTATCTTTAGGCCAGAACTATCTGGCAACGCCTCCAGGTCATTCAAATCACAGAAGACCGAGGAAACAGACTGACTTTTTTCAGAGCTTAAACCACTAATCAATTCTTTCTAAATGCTGAGTAAATTGGGACAGAGAAGTGTCGCCATATTACCCGAATAATAGAAGGCCAACCAGAGAATTAAGATGAATACGTGCACACTTTATCATTTTTAAATTATATTCGCAACATACAATATGACTAGCGCTGAAGAAAAGCAATAATTTAACATCTGGGTGCCTGGGGCTTCTTCCCTTGTTAACTGGAAAGTCAGAATTTTATTTCCAAATTTGTGAAATTAGAATAAAATTCATCTCTAAAGGAATAGCACTCTTCTTCTTTTCAGTAAGTTGAATTCTAACAAAAGAATTCCAAAGTCTCACTATGTATTTAAAACACAAATTAATAGAATCCGACCTATACAAAGTAAAGGTCATAACATTTAAAATTCCTAGAAAGGACTCTAAAGTTACCTAATCCACATGATTTATTTCCACACAATATTTTTACATGTGGTTCCATCCAGAAATTATTCTTTTCCTTAAAAAATCCTCATTTATAAAATTTGCTCTATTGTTTAGAAACCTAAAGGAAGAACAAAACACAGATTCTCTCCTGGAAAACTGCAGCAAGACTAACGTTACAATCATTTCTCAAGATTTGAGGTGTTCCCAGCGTGGGCATCTTGGTGAACCATCTTGGTCCCTCAGAGGAAACATAACTTCTGAAAAACTAGGCATTTGGTACCTGGAATATGCAACTAGCCAAATCGTCATGGTCTGTCCCAAGGGTCAGCTATGGTTTTGCTGCCACCCTGATTGGAGCAGAAATGGAAATTGTCTCCATTCTTTATTGTCCAGCTTTTCAGCCACACCTCTGTCGCTGTCTCTTGAATGGACCAATGACACGTTATAAATCCTATGCCCATGGCAGCTTAATTGGGGGCTGAGAGGGGAGCACGATGGCAGGGTCAGGAAAAGAAGTGAAGTACTCTATTAACAAAGACAGCCTGTCCAAGGTCTTTGTGTGTCAACTAGGCTCGTGTGAATCCCCAGCTACTCTGCAGCGATGACCGGATGTTGCAGTATTCCACTGAGTATTTGCTAATCTCATCCTTCCTATTCTTTTGTATTGCTCATTTTCATCTGGACTGGTAAGAATCACATATGATAAGTCTTTCAATTAAAATGGCTGGAAATGGCCAAATAAAAGCCTGCTCTTTTAAGAAATAAATACTCATATTCAGGAGCAAGAATAAGCAATTATGTTCATTTTCCTCTTTATTATATAGGGTACGGGCTTTGGTGTTCAATAAAACTGGGTTCAAATTCTGACTGTGACACTGTGAACCTTGGGAAAGTTACTTGAATCTTTGAGCTTCATCTATTCATAGGTAAAATAACACCTATCTTATAGAACCGTTATGAGAATTGAATGAGATAATCAATGTAAGGTATTTAATATAGTGTCTGGCACGTGATAAATATCCAGTAAATGTAAGCCATTGTTGTTGCTATTATTTCCTTAAGAAGAATGTTATATAGGTTAATAAATTACTAATAAAGTATATGCCACATGCTTCAGATCATTGGATCTAACAACAGAACATGAAATCACAATTTTCTACATCAGGATATATACTTCAGTATCTGATCATTTCTACCAGTCTCAGTCCTTCCTAAGCTTAACTTAGTTTCAAAGAATTTGTGTAAAAATCTCAGTAAGAAAACGATAGTAATTATTTAAAGCAAGACCAGTAAGAAACCGGCATTGTTTTGAGAATAGCACGTGATTTTTCTACCAGTGAAGAAAATAATGTATCTGTCATAGTTTAAAAAAAAAAAAAAAAAAGTGAAGCTTCAGGAGATCTAGACATGTAAGTTCTATTTTGGGGGGAATTCTTCTAAAAGGTGGTTTGGTGAAAACGACTAGAACACCAGTGATATAGTAACAGTAATGAGAAAAATAATTATTGAATACCAACCACGCAAAGCATGTCACCATGTACACCGGGGAAAATAAAGAGGTGAAGGCTCTGTGTGTCTTCTCTAAAACTTGCAAGTTAAAAGATAAGACATTTACTAAGATATTCAGACCACTTTTTCTCAATTTTATTATTATTTCCCTGGTCCTACAATGGAAACTTATACTGAGATGATGGCTTTATTGTACATAGCTAACAAGATGACACCCTGCTGAGCCTAAAACCAAACTACAGATGTGCCTCCAAAGATACCCACCCCCAGTGCCACTTCCAATGCAAGAGTAGATGGAGAAGAAACCATTTGTACTCTCCAATGGCAAAAGAACAAGCTCCTAAGTGGTTTCGCTAATAATCCACTCCCTTTTTATTATGAGTCTGAAAGCCAAATTGCTGAAGGGATACATAGCAACCAAACGCAGGGGGCTGCTCTTGCCGAATTGTTGTGATTTTCTAAATCTGTGATCAGCAAAATGATAAAACGGAAATATTTCCAAATAGCATTGATTACAAATAATCATGGCTTGGGCAGAAGCCTATAGATGTGTTGTCCTCTGAGGCAATCTGGAGACATGAAGACTACACTCCTAGAATAACTTATCAAATACTATTACACATTATAAACAGAGTCTTAACACTATTTGCTTTGCAAAAATGAGTTCTGACTGACACTTCAGAGGCTCTTTCGGGCTGCTCTGCTCCACTGGAAAGAGGAAGGCTTCTGACGCTCGGTACTAAATTTGTGCAGGAGCAGTGTGCACAATGATTAGGCTGAGGGCTTTGGAGTCAAACAAACGTGAGTTCAGATCCTGGGTTCCACCACTTACTATGTGACGTTGAGCAAGTTTCACAACTCTCTGGGTATAATTCTTAACTCACAGGGTTTTGAGGATTAAACTGGATAATGCACATAAAGTCCTGAGCATAGTGCCTGGCCAATGGGAAATGCTTAAATGGTAACCTCCATCACTGTCTTTGCTGATTTTACACCTTGCTTGTTGAGAAAGAAAACCCATGCCTGCTTCCCTTTTGTACAACATATAGTACGCTGATGACAAAGAACAAACATTTGCTGGTGATATGCTCAAAAAGCATAAGAATTTAATTGAAAGTGCATGCTATTTTTGCCATTTCTCTAGAAGTATGACTTATTAAAAACATACAACACACCCCACCCCCCTTCCTGCTACTACCATCAATTTCAAATCCAACGGCTAGAGTGAGATTCTTGGACGAAGGGGAAATTTTGCTTTTGTTTTTTTGATGGTAGTGATTACATCTTTACATCTGAAGCCAGGAGAAAATGGAATTCAGCTTAGTTTACTCTTCAGGCAACAGAAGACCATCTACCTACTGAGGGGAAACAGGCAGCCCTCTACATTGTATAAAGTAACTGTTAACTCCGTGCAACTCTGTATATGGAGAGACCGCTTACTCCCAGGGCTTCCTTGCAAAGCCGGCAGGTTGTAGGATGCTTCAGGTACACATGAATAGGAAATGCCTCCTCATATCATGTCACATATACCTTGAGTCTCATTTTTAGTGCTCCCCTCCCAAGGCAAAATGGGGGGGGGATGCTAAGTTTGCCCCTGGGTTCTAAGTTTCCCTTGCATCATTCAGCTTCCCTAAATGCATCCTACTCGACCCTTCTGTGCACTGTAGTTCAACACCTAAGCTCAGTTCAAGGGAACAATGAAGCTCTCAAAGAAGAATAAACTTCAGAGTACAGATTCATAAATAACCTAATAGGCCCCGCCATCAGAGAGAGCAGGGCTTCTCTTATAAGCTAGAGAGGAGATGGAAAAACAGGAAGGAGCTGAAGACCAGAAGAACTAGTAAGGCAGATGGTTGGGAATGAATGTCATTTTGGTCAGAAGGCAGAAGGTCCTGGGGATGAAAACCTAGCCAACACACAAACAAACAAAAACATATGACTCTCTTCCACTGAGTATCAAAAAGGTAGCTTCCGAAAGCAAATAGCTAGAGGTTAAGGGGGAAGGAGCAGAATACACTGGTCAGAAGAACCATCAGCCTCCAGGGTCAGGGGACTGGTGAGCTGGAGTCCACTGACCAATTGAGCCTGACTCCCCACTAATCTCTGTGTCCATTGTGGACCACCTGCCTTCAGTTGGCACATCTTTCTTCAGCTACGCTAGGACCAGACTAATTTAGGCTATACCCACACCCCATGCATGTCTCCTGCCCCTGGTCCAAAATAAATCCTGCCTTAAGGGGCCTCTGTATGTGTCTAGTCTGACCTACTCTACACTGAAGTATTAAAGACGAATCTCTATTGGGAGCTCCATGAGCAGCCACTTTGTATATTCCAGCCCAGTGGAAAATGGTGGAGAGAAGAGAAAGTGGGACAGCCCTGGAGAAATCAAAGTAGGGAACTGTCAGGCCTAAAGGTCCAGCTTTTGATAAAGAGCCTCCTTTTATTTGACCCTTGGGAGGTGACAAAGAGTGAGTTTGTGGTCAATCAGGAATAGAATAAGTTGGAATGGGATATCTGGCCCTGTTCGGTCAGCAGAAGAGAGATTCATGGTCAACAAAACAATAACTCAATATTTATAAGTCAGATTCTTTTAAGGACCGAAGAATATGGCACATGCCCTCATTCAGCTTTCTGTGGGGGCAGGTGAGAGGCAAATTTTATAATCCCCGCCTTCCAGAGAGTGAACTAGAGTCATCTGCCTGAGATTAATAGTCTAGATAAGAAAGGGGGTCTACAGGCCTCCCTGCCCACTCTCCCTCCTAAGACAGCACTGGGCAGAGGAGAGGAGAGCCAGGAACTCTCAGCCCAGAGCCACAGGCAGGTCCAGGCCTTGATGCCCTGGT